TGCATTTGATTTGACCTCATTGGTCCACATAGTATGAATTCCACCTCCTGCATGCCTTGCCGATTCATTAGCGGAGCCATCCGTAAATATTGTATCCATCTGTTTTGGGGATAGTTTTGTTTTAATATCTGATTGGTGATGTCAGCATTTTTAAGAGAATGTTCTCCTTTGGTCGTGATGCCATCTTTCGTACCTTTAATTTGTAGGAAGCACTTGGAGTTCTAGCGTGGGGATTCGGGATAAGTGGACGACTTTAATTTATGGATCAAGACTTGTAACTGAGTATTTTGAATTTAATTCTTGAGCTGCCTGAATGAACTTTATTCGAGAGTTCTGTTATTTAAAATCTAATTACGCATGGGAGTGCTAACACAAACAGTTTTGTTTTTTTGATCAGAACTTGTCGCCAACAGATCAGCAGTTTCAATTTTCTCCCGCCAGCATTCGAGGTGCATTTGCGTGTTTCACAGTCGAAAAACATTCAAATGCAATTGGGTGAGCATCTTTGAATTGCTTCTGTTTTCCATAACATGCAAGCCTGACAATGTTTCTATGGCTGCATTTAGTGCTGAACCTAGGCCGCCAGTGAGAGCATTGATACGGTTTTCTTTTTGTTATGTTTAAGAGTTTCTCTTAGTCAACTGGTTCTGCGATGCCCCAGCTGCGGGTAAATCCAGGTGCGCCAGCTGCGTTGGTTTCGACAGCGGTATCGAAAGCCGACAGTAAGGGAAACAATATCAAATTACTAGATGTAAACTTGCCTAGAAAAACCACAACAGCCAAAAAATAATAGTGTTGGTTCTGCAACGTCCTGTAAAGAATGCGCACCTAACTAACTAAATAAACATTAACTGTTGCCTCTTAAGTTCTGTCCTTAAAGCCACATTTTCGGGCTGTTTCCTTCGAAGTCGGAATGCATTCTGACTGAGAGGCGAGGAACCAACGGTCTGCACAGAAACAAGCCAGCTATAACTATGCATCTGCATAACAAAACTAAAGATCTTGGACAGGACGAAAGTTCAGAAGTCGACGGACATCCTTATCTTTCTGCCGGGGTTTACAGCCGGTGAACGCAAAGAAAAAGAAAAAGACAAGGTTAACATTAGAGCAACCATTATCGTATATTATATTTCTGTAATCCGAAATCAGAACGCTAGAAACACCACTCTCCAAACTAAGCAGCCTGTGTAAGGTAGCTATGCAATGGATACCATCACACTGTGGAGGTCCTTTAAATGAAAGAGCTGATAAATTAGCTAAGGAAGATGCAAATAAAGAAACACCTGACGTACCAGTCTCTTATCAACAAAAGAAGAGAATAATCAAATCTATCAAAAAGCCACCAAAACCATTTTTTATTGACAGATCTGAGCAAGTTATTATTCTACGCCTTAGAACAATCGACTTCCCAGCCACATGTAAACAGAATTATAAATCGGTGAATCAGCCATGTGCACATGTGGACTGGAACCTGAGACAGCATATCGTGTCCTCCAAATAAAAAGTAAAGATCTTTTCACGCCTTAGGCGCCGGTCATTTGGGAAGAGCATCTCATATTTTTTACAGAACAATTAGCACTAGATGGGTAATGTGGTCAGCATTACGCCACCCGTCTTTACTTCCCCAGGACATACATCCTGGTACCTACTTTAGACTGGGTCGACCTGCGACGATCCGTACCATGATAAAAATCCATGCAGCCAGCAGTGGGTTTCGATCGCGGTACGGTGGAATTACGAGTCGGACTCGCAACGCCTAAGCCACGGACGCCGCCATGTTCTCCAAGACTGTCCCAAATACAACATATCAAGTCAAGGCAAAACGTTTGGCCAAGAGAAACGTCGGTGCAAGCCAAACTTTACGGGTCGCTGAGTGAATTACAAAAGACAGTAAAGTTCATACTAGAGACAACATTGCAGGTACAGATAATCTATTTCAAAGTAAAGTTCATACTAGAGACAACATTGCAGGTACAGAAAATCTACTTCAAGCGCACCTAAGAAGAAGAAGCAGAAGAACGCTAGAAGGGACGCGAGGCAAGTATTGATGTTACAAAACAAGGATCACACCCAAATATGAAATATCTTAAACTCTTGACTGCAAAATCAGTGTCTGAAGATAGAAAGCTAACAGGCTACCTTGCAGAACTCAAATAAGGAAAGCAGTTGACACACGGAATCACTGTTGACGTTTTCACATCTGCGCCTCTGTTTCCATTGTTCGATTGACATGTTTTATAAATATTTGAATTCTGCACGCTGCATAATGGTGATGATCACAACAATGTTTACACAGTGGTGTAGCTATGCTGCGATAGCGTTAAGTTTTCCTGACTGGAAATATTTGTACATCGAATGAGTTCATATCCAGACGGTTGTAGTGTAGGCTGCACTTTTACAACACTCTGTTAATTGTAAAGCATCAGCATTCTAATTACATTGAAATGTCCCTTTTCGCCCCACAGGCGCATTGGATCATCATCATCAGGTGCCTTACCGACTGGCGTGGGCGAACATGCCTCTCCATGATCTGCGATCTCCTGCAGCATGTATCAGTTCGTGTGCCGACACACCTCCATGCCATGCAACAAGACTGTCAAGCATCTTCTTTCGTTGTCTTCCTCTATCCCTCCTTCCACAGATCTTTCCAGTGGTCACAACATGTTCTATTTTCCCTCTTCTTATAACATGGCCGAGAAATGATGACTGTCTCCTTCTGATATCTGTGATAAGTTGTCTTCGGGCTCCCGCCTCTTTCAAAACCTCTTGGTTGCTCTTTTTGGCTGTCCAAGGTATTGTAAGCATTCTTCTGTAAAACCACATCTCTGAGGCCTCTAGAAATTGTTTGGCCTGCCTACCGATTGTCCAGGATTCACAGCCATATGTTAAAACTGGATGTATGTAGCAAGCAAGAATTCTTTTTCTAACTCTCAATGACAAGGATATATTGCACAAGATGTTTTTAATTTTATAAAATGCAGTTTTTGCCTGTCCTGTTCTGTTTCATATCTCAGTTATGCATCTTCCATTTGATGTTATAGACTAATCAGAAACCTGATGGGTGATGTAGGCAGTATCAGACCGGCCGTCTTTACTTCACAGGACTTTACGTGTATCCATTTAGGCTGGGCCGAGCCAAGGTAGTTTAAAGAAAAAAAAAAATAATGCAACCTATTAGACTTAAAACATTTTTGGATTAGGTTTATTTGCTATACTTTTTCAAATCGGTGTAATGTAAGTTTAATTAGATCGTATTCCAGCGTTTGTAATTAAGACTTAGATGATGTGAACATTTTTTTTAAATTTTAAACTTTTTTTAAACTATAAAATGATGTACAAATGAATAACTGTATGCAGGGAGTTGACTGGAAGGGAAGAATGAATGTTAGACAGGCCGGCGTGTTGATAATGTTTACAATTACTTGATGTATGAATAAAATGATGCAAAAACAGATGAAAATTAGAAGGGAAGATTGTTAGATTGGCATATTGGCCAATTCTTAACCCTTTGAAAATAAAGTCCGTTCGTTCATTCTGTTTGTCTAGCTTGACTATCAATCAGTTCAGTCTGTCTACATGCTTGCCTGCCTATCCGTCTGGTGTCTTTATTTGTTCGTTCACTCGTCCGTACGTACCCGCATCTACCCACCAACAAGTCTGTTTACCTGCCTTCACATACGCACACATACTTGTGTGTATCTGTTCTTGTGTGCTAAACTTGCTTAATGAGCAGACAGCAAACGACCATGTGTCCTGGATACGATTCACACTGGCTACCCTACTTGTGCACCAACTGTCAGGAAAACTCAGCGACGTGTTGTCGTCATATATGCATATTTATTGTCACGAACACATCAGGTATTAACAAACCCTCACACAGAATAATGCAAGCGAAGTAATCATACACATCACTGACTAATCATGAAATGAATGTCCCTCACTGACAGAACGGCGATCTCTCGAACAGCCTACACTAGCTACCACTACGCGCTGAGCTGGCCGCTACAGTGTCTAGGTCAACAGATCCCCTCACTTCAGGGCTCGCTGTAAGGAAGAACAGGATACTTCTCCTACCCAACTTGACCTCCGTCACATCGGCTGACTGGAAGACTTCACAATATTGGGCGTCAGAACGTGTATCCAGCACATCAGCATGGTAGAAGGCACCCCGATGACCGACAGGACTACTGGCTCAGAGTCCTCTTCAGCGCACAGCTGTCGCCCACACCAATGCTGTCTTATTTCACTATTGATCCTACCACCTCACATGCGATGTCACCCAAGACAGCTTCCTCTTGAAGTAGTACAGCTCTATTGGCTTAACTGGACTTCTCTTCCTTTGACTGCATTCTCTACTGTCCTCTAGACCAGTCTCTGGTTCTGTACGAAAGATAGTTGACTAAAGGGGCCGAATGTAAAACGGGCCTGTGTGTCCAATTTGTGACCCTTTTAAAATAAAGTTCCTTCGTTTGTTCACTTCTCTCGTGAGTGCTTCTACCTCGAACGTTCTCAACTCAACTGTTCGAGCTGTCAACTGTTCTCTCAACTGAACTCAACCCCAGTATATACACTTGCCTGCCCCCTGTGAGCTCCCCGTGCACACGAGACGCTCACTGTTATACATCATTCCCCTTCACTGAGAACCCACACTTTTCCGTGCGACTGCTGCTATCCACACACTAAGTATAATAATTAGAAGTCACTGGGCTGCCACTTCATGAATTCACTGGTCCATCCAGTCCTGAGTCAACACCGGCTTGTAATAATATTGACTCAAGCCGTGCTGACATCTCCGAGCTTAAGTCAGCACCGCACCAGATATTGACTCAGGTCACCAGACATTCGAATGGATTCACGAAAACAGTTTTCACGACATTGTCCCTAACAATTCTGCAACCTTTCCGAATCAACATGCAACATTTGTATGTAAATATATGTGTGTGTGAGTATGCATACAGTTTCTTGAACTGACTATTTCACCTTTCTGTCCTCCACAGTTTATGCTGTCTAAATACGGATATCTTCGCTGTCATGTGGCAAGAAAGCGAAGAGAGGCATCGAACAGGGACCACCGAATCTTGCCACATTCCAGTACGTTTCCATCAGTCCTCACCAACGTCGAAGAAGGAGGTGGTCGCGTCTGCGATGAAAACGAAGTTCAAAGAGCAATCAGAAATTATCAAAGAACTTACAACTTGCCAGAAACGGGAGAGCTGGACGAGGAGACTAAATCTTTAATGAGTACATCTAGATGTGGAAACAAAGACAGTGAAAAAGATCACATTAAAGTTAAAAATGCTAAAAAAGAAGAGATTGACTTGGAAGAGGAATTGTTGCTTACCACAAATCGTACATCAATGCAGAAAGCTAGCAGTGTCGATTTATCAGTTGATAATGAAAACAAAAATTTACAAGCAAAAGATCATAAATTGTGGAAAAGATCAGCGCGGTCTGAAAATAGTATGCTGTATAGAGTTCTGGCTGGGCAAAAACCTAGCACACGGTCCCAAAAGTATCTTCAAAGACATCTAGAAGATTATGTTAAAAGAATTCGCTCTGAAGCTAAAGGCAATAAAAGACTCCTTCATCGCTACACCCCAAAGGAAAGAAGAAAGCGTTCGATCCACGTAAATATGCAAGGAATCCACACAGTTGGAGAGTTCCAAGGCGATCGAGGAGTTCTTTTCAACAAAGAAATTATCCGTTGGCGACTGTTGACAACAGGCTACAGCACAAGAATTCCAGTGGAAGACCAGAGGGCAACAATTGATCTGGCCTTCCGAATGTGGAGTGAGGTAATTCCATTACAGTTTGTCGAGGACACGACCAGTCATATCAACGATGTGGATATCGAGGTTGCTTTTGGCAGAGGTTAGTGTTGTTTCTTTGTTGTTGTGTTTGGTGTGCGTTTTATTTTCATGTGACAAAAATTAAAAGGTTAAAAAAAAAAGGGGGTGTGTACATCGGTTTCAAAGTAGATAATTCAATAAAGAAAAAAGGTTTTTTAAAATTAATATCCCACCCCAGATGAAGTCACAGGACAGTTAAACATTTTATAGGGTGGTAGGGCTTTATAATGCCTTTAACGACCTTACAACATCTAGAACTGGCTCTAACCCTAACCCACCTCATCCCACGAGAAAGTGCAGCCTAGGTCCCACGACAGCATGCAGCCGATCTACCGCCCCCTGAAATATTAGAATGTCCCGTTACTGTGGATTTCCAATGTTTGGGGTAGGATATTAATAAAGCACCAAAAAGATGTTTTGGTAACATATCTTCATTCGCATAGTTATAGTTAATAGTTACACAAAAAAAAAAATAGAAAGAAAGAAATAACGACAGAAAGAAATAAAGAAGAAAGAAAGAAAGAAAAAGGGAACGACACCGACGTAACTAAATCACAACACACTGTGTATACAAATGAAACAGAATAACAAAAAACAAAATGATAAACAACTGGAGGTACTTTCAATTTACATTTGCACATTTGTACTTCAGTCAAGGGGAGCCGCTGTGGTGTAGCGACTAGTCGCTTGTTTGTGGATCGGAGGGTCGTGGGTTCGGGTTCTAACGGAGCTGGACCATTTTCAAAAAGACGACCTTGGATTCCAGGTGGACCCCGCATTGAATAGGTACCAAGTACAGTCCTGGGAAGTAAAAGCGGCCTGCGCTATGCTGACCACATGACCCACTGGCCGATTGATCCATTAAATATAGGTCTAGCAGGAGTAGTAGTAGCAACAGCAGCAGTAGTAATAGTAATAGTAGTAGCAGCAGCGTTGGTAGTAGAAGTTGTGTGATTATTATAATCTGTAAAGTTATTAGTATCAATAGTATTAGTAGAAGCAGCAGCAGCGGCAGTAGTAGTATTAGTGGTGGTGGTAGTGTTGGTGGTGGTGGTAGTAGTAGTTGTAGTAGTAGCAGCAGTAGCAGCAGCAGTAGTAGTAGTGGTGGTGGTGATATTGTTGGTGGTGGTGGTAGTAGTAGTTGTTGTTTTAGTAGTAGTAGTAGTAGTAGTAGTAGTAGTAGTAGTAGTAGTAGTAGTAGTAGTAGTAGTAGTAGTACTAGTAGTAGTAGTAGTAGTAGTAGTAGTAGTAGTAGTAGTAGTAGTAGTAGTAGTAGTAGTAGTAGTAGTAGTAGTAGTAGTAGTAGTAGTAGTTATAGTTGTTGTTTTTATGGAAGAAGACGAAGAAAATAAAAGACGAAAAAACTTTTTTAAAATAAGTAATCTATATGCGTATGCCACTTATGATATCCAAACGGAATATACACTGTAATCCTTTTAAACCCCATATAACTGTATAATGCGTAGGTTCTAAAATTACTGTATTCAAGGTGAGGGAAATGCGTAATTGGTTAGTTGGACGTTAGCCTCCCCAGACCCCGCATATATACACACTGGCTCACTTCTGATTAAGAAAAGATATAAAACCGAACGTAAAGTATATTAGCAAGCTTCACAATATAACAAATAAAAACAAAACGTGAACGTTGCGGCCATTGAGCCTTCATCGGCATATACAAATAAAACAATACTACACAGATACACAAAATCACTTAGCTGGTATCTCGAAGCAGCCGGATCGGTTGTTTCTCAGCAGAATGACTACACGTCTGACTGACTGACTGACTGACTGACTGACTTTCTACCCCATCAGGACATCACATAAGCGATAAACACCCGATGTCACAATGTGCCACCATGTGGGTGAGGATCACCGTGGAGAGGTCACAGAAACCGTGTTCAGCCTTTAGGCTATATTTATGACCAGGCTATATTGCGGCCCCTGGCAAGAGCCAGAGTAGGGTTTCAAATAACGAAAAATTTCATCCTAAAAAGGACGGGAAATAATTACTTAGAAACATGTGTCGGCATGGGGAATAAATACCCCCTGTGGAGTACCAGGGGGCCATAACTGGGGGAAGAGGGGGGGGGGGGGGTTGGAGATAAAACTGTGAGGGCAGTTCAATCCCCTGGGAGTTTAAATGAAACTGTGTTGGCAATTCAGTCCGGAGAGTGTTAAAGTCCCCAGAGTATAAATAAAGCGATTCTCAAGGGACTTGCGGACTTCTTATTAGTAGTTCCCGAACCTCTTGACTTCGCTCACGATTACGTGGGGTGTTCAGCGATGCCGTTGATGTGGCGTATTGTATATTTCAGCACGCCAGCGCTTTTAACACTCCAAAAACATTGAGAAACTGGGACCTCCCCCAACCCCACCCCCACCCCGCACAGAGAGTGCTTCAACCTATGTCATAGGCATTATCTTTCTCGGAATAAAAATATAAATGCAAGACATCGTAGAAACTAAACAGGGCGTGACACGCCCGTAGCCTTCAGGAAAGTCGACGAGCCTGACAAATTCGTGAATAAAAGTAATCTAATCTATTTGGAGATTTGTGGAGACTAACGTCGAACTAACCGAAGTAATTTGTTCGGCCCACACATCACCTGTAACCCGTTCTCTTGCTGTTCGCTTCAAGTCACATACCCTGCTGCGTAATTATGACCATGGATGTGTATTTCCGCGGTGGAGAACACCCGGGAAGCCGGTAATCGGCGAACATTCAATCGGGAAACAATCATTTGCCAACGGTAACCGAAGAAGAGAGACTGCATTTATCCTGATTACGTTTATTTGCGTTTGCCTACACTCCACCTTACCGGATTTTATGGGCACATAAATAAGAACGTCGCATGTCCGTTACGCTTACAGGATTGGGGCCTCTGAAATGTCTCCACGTAGGATGAATATTCTAAATTACCTGGCTTTAAGCAAGTGGGAGAGAACGCCAGCGTTAATTTGAATTTTCCATTACATTTATTTTTGTTTTCTGATGTATAGAATTTTTCACATAACATGTTGTAAGACTTGTACTTGTTAAGTTTCTACTCTAAATCACCGTGATTTAGATACTTTTAAATGTTCAATTTCAACCGCGCCTCGTTTAAAATACCTAACAACTTATGTTACGAAACAATCATAATTTACGTACTTCAGACTTCTTTTTCGAACCTAGCAGGTTTTAAACACTTTGTAAATGTCTTTTTCAAATGAACATGTTTTAAATACTCCCCAAACATTAATTTTTGTATGCAGCATGTTTAAATTCTTTCCTAATGTCTGTTTCTGATGCCTCAAGTTTGAAACAGTTCCTAAGCCTCTATTTCGAAAGCACAATACCCCTTGTGGGTTTCATGTGTCCCCAGTGAGGGAGGGGAAGAGAATACACCCACTACCTCCCTAACAAGCATGTCGCACAAGCCGACTAATTAGCAATGAACCTCAAGAGCTCGAAATGCTGCTGCTGCTAATAATAATAATAATAATAATAATAATAATAATAATAATAATAATAATAATAATAATAATAATAATAATAATAAGAAGAAGAAGAAGAAGAAGAAGAAGAAGACGGAGAAGAAGATATTTTTCCACATTCCGTGGGGGAAGGGTTATAGTCAATGACTGAACGTGGACGGTGGATAGGGAGCTGTCGTTATTTGGACTTCAACTGACGCCTGCCCTTAACACGAGATTAAAGTGCATTAAAAAAAATATCAAATAAATCAAGAGACGAGGAGAAATGATTACGCTGGACAAGGCACATAGAGCTAGGTTAATTAGAGACCGGTAAAATAATATGAGGGTGATGTGGAAGGAGCTGCAAAAGGCTAGAAGGTCTTCTTACGCGATTATTTGAAGATGTAATTGCGTTGTGCCCGTTTAGAGCATGGCTGTGATATTTGCGTCTTTCGCCGGCTGACACATCTGTCTTCTGCAGACATTTTTTGACTAGGTTAGCCTTCCCGATCAGAGCAGGATCCTTGCTACACTGAGAGATTAAAGGTACACAAGGAAATTGGTTGGAATCCCAGAGAACGAGCTATTTTAAAACTCTGCATTATCTAACATCTCATCGGATTTATTTTTAGGGTGTGTGTTTTCGGTGTCTTTGTATGTTTATTCGACGGATCAACATCATGGCGCACACGGATCTAACCCATAAGTCCTCCGTTCTACTCCTAACTCTGAGTCTGATGGTAATCAGCGCAGTGCACCAACTCCGTTGTACCTGCGAGGATTCTGAAATACTTTGGTTACATTTCTAACTCCAAATTTTGCCCGGGCAGCGCCATTAGGCAACTCTTTTCGATTGCCAACTGCCAAGGGAGCTTTTACATGCGGAAGAAAACACGGGCGTCCGAACTGACTACCCAGAGACCAGAGGAAATTACTAGAAGTCCACGTGAAAAAATCCCAGCCTTCATGGAAGTGTTTTCAGTGTCCTGTATGAGTACCAATCATTAAATTATTTAGAATCAGAAGTCCCCTTCATATAATGAAAATAAGAACAACACATTTCTTTCACCTAGACTAGATACACGCACAAAGTTAACAAAAACTGGTTTCTCCTTAACCTCGCCATTTATAGTTTTCTGTGCATTATACACAGAAACCACATTCGCCCTGCTACAAAAACATGTAATGGCAACATAAATAGAGTTTCTGATGAGTGGGTGACGAATTCCATAAACGGATTGCCCCCCCCCCCCTCCACCCACCCCCTCCCATCCTTTTTCCCAACATCATCATCATCATCATCATCATCATCAGGTACCTTGCCAACTGGCGTGGGCGATCATGCCTCTCCATAATCTGCGATCTCCTGCAGCATGTATCAGTTCGTGTGCCGACACACCTCCATGCCATGCAACAAGACTGTCAAGCATCTTCTCTCGTTGTCTTCCTCTATCTCTCCTTCCACATATCTTTCCAGTGGTCACAACATGTTCTTTTTTCCCTCTTCTCATAACATGGCCGAAAAATGATGACTGTCTCCTTCTGATGTCTGTGATAAGTTGT